CTTTGGTGGCGCGTTAATTAGAATCATTTCGGTACATAAGGTCCATTGGAAAACTACCTACAGAGCCACTATAATTATATATACCTTAAGGAGACAATTATTAGCGTGTACTTATTTTAGCGATTTTCATGAAACTAACATTTGGCTGGTACTTAATTTAGCGTTCTTGATCATTTGATATTAATAACTTTTAGAAGAATGAAAGGGGCAAGCCTAAGCAAGCTACAGATTATGTGCTGTGATCTACATGTATGAGCAAGCAAAGCAATTGCACAAGTCTAAATACACTAATACAGTAGATCTTGTTGCATTAATCTTGCTTAAATTGCTTCATCACTGACTCTGCAGCCATTAACATGTAAAGTAGTCTTGCTTACAGCATAGACTCTATGCTTACAGTTAGAAGCAGTCACGGAACGAAGAAGACTGTCATCTGCTTTGTTAACCTAGGCTAACTGCTAGAGAAGTCTTTGGACAGCAGTTTAGTATTATCTTGCTGATCCTTTGCTCAGTTTGCTGCAAATAAGCTCAGGCTTGCTGACGGCCGCCATTTTATTCATTGTGACCACACCCACTTTAAATGAAGAAATTAAAATTAGCGCGGACTTAAGTTAGCGATTTTTTAAAAATCGCTAAAATTCGCTAAATTAAATACCCGCAAACAATTGTCTCCTTAAGGTATATATATGTGACCATAATTGACAAAAGGTACCTTATGGCGGGTAGTGAAATTTGTCTTTCTAGCCTAAGAAATCCAACTTCCTGAGCCCCATTTATCATAAAATTACTCCACAGGATGCAAAAAGTTACCATGAAACTTCTAGAAACAATGATTGTCTAACAAGGCACTCACAGGTTGATATTTGCCATTATTAAGATCAATTTTAAAATCCGCCATAAGGGCCCTTTTGTCAATTATGGTAACATATATATATATATATATATATATATATATATATGTTGCAGTAGGCGTGGCCAATTATTGCGTCCGCCATGTTGGAGTACAACTCGGAGTACAAGTGCAATAATAATGTCATGACTTTTGTTAACAATTAGCTTTTTAGGAGCTAATGAGTAATGCGCTGGAACAGAAACTCTGATTGATTGATCTATGTAGCTTTGGCAGTGAGAGAAAAAAGAAATAGATGAAGCAATTAGTTGACTACTCAGACTGTGACAGCTGAAGATCTGGAAACTGACTAGACTAATTAGTGCTGCAATGACTTTCACACACAACAAATACATATTTATTTTTCTTTTGGTTTTGAAAGAGGAGCCTGGGAACAGTATATAAGCACAGGCGGTATGACGGACGGTAGACGGTCGAAAAGGCCCTATCTGCTCTG